GCATAAGGTTTATCATATGTTGTATTCCAGAAATGTAAGTGTAATGAACATGAGCAGTAGTGCAGTACTTTGTGAAAAGAATCAATCCTTTAATTATGAGTAATAGCAGAAGTTGGTATCAGCTGTTTTTTCCTTTCAGTATGTCTCTGTCTCATTTTAATGTTCATCACCCACACAGGTATTGTGTGACCACTCTGCCATCATCAGGACAGTTATATGTACTGAGAGTAAAGAGAAACTGTTGTATGATTATTACAGATTTATTTTATTAAACACACCTGTTAAAGACTAAACTCTATATACAAAAATATTGTGTACATGTTGTTTGTTCTGATATTTTCTTTTTGTGACATGTTTTGGGTCCTGTGATATTAAAATAGTACATACAACAAAAAATCACTCACACACATATGGAAATATTGTTTAAACTCTCTGACACAAATTTAATAAGATAAATAAAGAAATCCAACCCTTTGAGAGTGGGAAAAGAAAAGAATACTTGACTTTGGGCTAAATAAAATAAATAAGTTTAAAGTTTCTAAAGGCAATTGTACCATAATTTCGAAGATTTTAATCAGAAGTAGAATATTATTAAGAATTAATTCGATGACTGGTGCCAATCCTGATATTAATTTAATATTTATGTCCTTATTTTTCAGGTGTATGTGGGGGATGTTGTCTCCATGACTACTGATTTTGACAGGCTTCATTATTTATGGTAAGTCTTTCAGAACATTTATAGATCATACATGATTAATAGTAGTAGTTAATGTTGCACAGAATTTGCAAAGGATGTTAACAGTACAAAACATGTATGTATGTGACAGTTTAACAACATGATCATCTCATATGTTGAGCAAACGCTGCCGCAAGGCAGAGAGCTCCTCTGCGATTGCCACAGGTAGATCTGTCCCCACTTGTTCTGAGAAGTATCGCTCAATGTCTGTCACCTATAAAACAAGAAGTATCGGCTCAGCAGAATTTTGAAATTCAGATTATTTCATTCTCAAATATTTGTCAAATTCTTTTTTACCTTTCAAGTACAGTGTAGAAAAGTCAGTTCTCTATCTTAATGTACTGGTACATACTTATTGCAAACAGTGGTAATTCAGTACGTACCGTAAAGGTAATAGGATTTATACTAAAAAATTAAAAGCTATTAATTATAAAAATTAACTTTGATACTGATTGCAAGTACTCTGCTTACCTCTTGGAGCCAGAAGTCTTTTGGCAGGCTGAAGAGTTCTGTCGTGTTGATGGTGTCACTGAGTCCATCTAGATTCAGGCAGTCTTGTTTGGGAATGTAACCAATAGGAGTAGGCTGTGCAATATCTTCATTATCTATTCGTCGGAAGATCCAGTCAAGGACGCGGGAATTCTCCCCAAAACCAGGCCAAAGGAACTTACCCTAAGGGAGGAAAAAGTCTTCAATATTTTTCAGATACACCTGTATGATACTGAAATTCATGTCCAACTTTATAAACTTTATTAAAGAAAAACAACGCGTTTCTTTAAACTCAGGACATAGTACAGTCAACATCTGTATATATATATATTTTAAATTATTCTCATATTTTTACAGTCTTTCATAAATTAACAAAATCATTTATTTGTGCTTATAGCAATACAAAAAGGGTTTTCAGGCACGGTTCATGGATCTTTAAGAATTAAGAGGGAACTGCTTCCACAAATCTATTCAAAATATTAATCTGTTAATTTAGGAAGGAAACTGAACTTTGCTATGTTTCTTTCTCAGCAACATCTTTGCTAACATTACACAAATTTTAAGTTTATGTCTTCTGTAATTTCATCATTCTCCTGTAATGTAGAAGTGAAGGTAATTCAGTCATCTAAATACTGACCTGCTTGTCTTTACGGAACCAGTTGACGTGGAACACCTTCGGAAGTTTGCGGCCAGGCGTGTTAGCCATGTTCAACCAGTGCGTCAGGTAGTGGCCAAAGTTATATCCAAAGAATGGCCTCATTGCAAATGGGTCATGCATTATAACCTTGCCCTGTTAGAGAGAGACAGGAATATTTAACAGTTTCCTGCAGGCATACTTAATATTTGAAAATGGTTGTCTTCTGGCTTGTAGCGCCGTGTAGATGAAGTTAATAAAATTGTAGGAAAAATAAAACCAAGAAGTGCTTTGTTACTGTTCTGTTCAAAGCCTGTTAATAGTCTTGTCAGGTTTGTTATATTGGATACTTTGGTGTTAGCATTATTCAGTCTTTATGTTCTGCTACCAGAGTGTTAGTGAAGCCCTCTGTACCTTGTGTTCAGCTGCTGCAGTTGATTCAGATCTCATACTGGCCCCAATAAACACCCCATGCTGCCAATTGTATGCTTCATAAACCAGTGGTACTCCTACAGGCCGGCGCCCTCCAAACAGGATTGCATCAATAGGCACACCATGTGGATCTTCCCATGAAGGGTCGATAATGGGGCATTGCGATGCAGGTGAACAGAACCTGTATCAAGAAAACTGACTTCTTAAACAAAGAAACATATTGGAAAAATTGATGCACTCCATATATAATATATAATAAATACTGAGAGTATTGAATACATAAATGGAATTGCTTTCCACAATTCATATGAAACCTCTGTTTAAGAGGTTATGTTTTTTAGTTGCTTTTTCCCCTTCATTGTTTTATTTCTTATTTTACACAGCCCATATAATTAATTCTTAGTAACACCACTAGATGGCAAAATATTCAGTACAGTTGTTTGAATTTATAGTTTAAATGAATGCTAAGATGGCTGTCTTCTGGCTTGTAGCACAATGTAATCAGCTAGAAGTTTGCCACCATTTCAGAGGTCCTTGCTGTCTCCATCATCGAGGTTATTATGACAGTTTGTGTACAGTGTAGTATAGGAAGGTTTTGCCAAATACCTTGAGTTGGGATGGGCAGCTGGCGTCTTTCCATCCCACAGCCTGCCTTGCCAGTCCGTTACAGTCACTCCTGGAGCCAATTCATCCTCCATTCCTTCCCAGAACACACCCCCGTCACTTGTTGCTGCCACATTTGTAAACAGCGTGTTGGAGAATATTGTCTTCATTGCATTGGGATTTGTTTTACTTGACGTACCTGGAACCATTATCATTTTATACTGAAATTATGGGGAACATCTGATGGCAAAGAAGTAACAAAACTGCACATTAATTGTTAACAAAAAATATTGCAAGGAATGTAATTAAAGTAATGGAAAATTTTATCTTGTTTTACTTTCAGTTATTAGCACACAGTTGTAATAGATTCTGTATTCTATTGATATTCCAATATGATACCTGGTGCCACTCCGAAGAAACCATTTTCAGGATTAATAGCCCTGAGTTGCCCATTGCTATTGAACTTCATCCATGCGATGTCATCTCCCACACACTCAACTTTGTAGCCAGGTAGCGATGGGCACATCATAGCAAGATTTGTCTTGCCACAGGCACTGGGAAATGCAGCTGCAATATATCTTTTCTGTCCTTTGGGGTTTGTGATACCCAGGATCTGTTAGGACAAACGTGATGAACACATGATTCCCAAACGTGCATATAACGTAACATGTGATACAACAGAAGACCAAAAATGCAGGAAATGAATACTTACATTTTTAAACTCAGTTAGGTAATGAATTTTATACTGATTGTGACTCTCTGTTATGATCTTGTGGTTTGGTTGTTGTAATTAAAAATTATTATTCGATGTAAAAAATCTGTTATAGAAAACTGTGTAATGGTTATCTTCAAAATTCGTATAGTGTTTATCTGTTAACCTTTATTGTAGTGATATCACACAGTCAGATTTTACTGTTCTAGCTAGAAAGATAATATTTTGTGCCTGTGCCATGGCCTTTCCACTATTTGCGATCACTGCGTTGGTTGATACAAGTCATTGCTAGTCAGCAACTGTGATAAGAGGAAGAGGTATTCTGCTGTCTTTAAGTGTTCACATGTGACTTGTTGTCATTCAAGATTCCCTTTGTGCTGGATATATATAAATATACATTACAGCATCGGGTTTTTATGTATGAATTTAAATGAATTTTAAGTTCAGTAAGAAGTGCAAGATAAAATTCAGGAGATTTCCTGGGGTTTAAGTTCATTACACAAACAGGATTCAGAATCTTGTCAGTAAAGTAAGAACATAACAAGAAAGAAAGGAATTGACAAGAAATCAGAAGGGAAAGATTGTGTGAAGACAGATTGGAGAGTTTTCATCAATCAACCTATACAAAACAGAATGGATGAGAGATGAAAAAAAGAAAAGGACCTTGTAACATTATTCTTCCAGCACTTCAACCCCACAGAAGGAGCTGGAAAGTTTCTCTGCACATTGTAAATTTTTATCACTCTGATATAATGTGATTCCCAGCAGAGTTTACGGTGAATATGCCCAGCTGAGAAAACTGAAGTTTTTATCTTCCCATCTTATCAAATGCTCTGCAGTTGAAATAGCAGTGCTAAATGAACACTGAACCTTTCGAACATAACTCACCAGCATGTGTTCTGCCAGCCAACCTTCTCTCTTTGCTATTGTGGAACCAATTCGTAAAGCAAAACATTTCTTTCCAAGCAGGGAGTTACCACCATATCCGCTTCCATACGAAACAATTTCGCTGTTTTCTGGCCTGTAAAAAGAAAGAAAGTACATGAGTATTTTGTGATGAATGACAGATTTCCTTATACTAGAATACATTATAGAGGTAGCCATATTATTATTTTATTCATAACTTATAGACACAACAGCCAATTTTAAAATATTTTAAAATTTTGATTTTACATTCCTTGTGTTTAATACAAAGGAAAAATGTAAATTTAAAGTACCTGAAAGTAAAGTTCTAAAAATGGTTTTGGGATAAACAATGAATGAATTATGATACAGAATAGAAGACACAAGATACTAAGGATTTTTGTGTTTTGTTGAGATTACTGGTAACAAATCAGCTAACTCTGATAAGAAAAAATGCATACCCAATTTTAATGGGTAATACTAAAATGAATCTTCAGGAAATATGTTACAAGGATGTGAATTGATTCAAGATTATGTCCAGTGTTGAACATTGATATTAATAGCGTTGAACATTTGGGTGCTGTTCAGTATTGCCAACACAATTTGCAGACTGTTCACCTGTGAAGGATGATTGTTCTTTCAGGGTCACAAGGCCAGCCATTGTTTACAACATCCACGTTCTGAGGGCTTCCAACAGAATGCAGACATTTCACAAACTCTGCCCCCTGTGCTAAGGCTTGTAGGACAGGTGCACCCATACGCGTCATGATTCGCATTGAACTCACTACATATGGTGAATCAGTGATCTCAATTCCAATCTTAGACAGTGGTGAGCCAACAGGACCCATACTGAATGGAACAACATACATTGTGCGACCTGGAACACGGAAAAGTTTATTTTATTATTCTACAGTCAAGTCCTGTATGGGAAGCTGGAAGGTCAAATCTCATTTGGAGAAACTGTAGATTCATCTACCTATCTTGATTAGTGAATTTTCTGCCGTGCAAATGCTACATGGTAATTACTTACTCATTTTAAATTCATCATTTTTAAAGATATGTAATTATGGAAAGATTACGTAGGCAGTATGACCTCTGAAACGTTGGTTAACATCGACCAGATTGCACAGCGCAACAACCCAGAAGACAGAAATCTTCATACTCACCACTGTGAAAACCAGAAATCATACAACACTAATGTTGTTTCTATCTCACAATTTTTTAAAGTTGTGATGTTGGTAGTGTTTATGAGTTAAATATTACAAATGTCGGGTGGCGTCTAATAGTATTCTGTTTCTACAGAATTTCAGGAAATTGGTCAGGAGTTGAAATATTGATGTTTGTGACTGAATCAGATACTGCAGATAATTTACAGGTTTCCTTCATGATCCTTCTTGCCTCCGAGTTCAGTCTTAATTGAAATTTATCATTACTCTCCTTCCTTGACTCAACTTACCTTTCATGCAGCCTGGAAACCTGAGTCTCATTGCTTTGTCCATGTCGTCAGGTGACATCCAGTTACCAAGGGTGCCCTTAACACCTTGCTTTGGTGTTGGGATGGTGTCGCGGGAATCCTTAGTGCAGATGAATGTCCGACTTTCGACCCGGGCCACATCAGCTGGATTTGTTTGCGCTAGCCAGCTTTGTAGAAAATAAATTAAAATGCTGTTACAAATAATACGTATTCTGACTGCGACTCTTAATTTCAGTACAAGGTGGAATAATATGTTCAGGCTGTTAAGGAATTCAAGTGATTTGTAATTCTTTGAAGGAAATAATGAGAGCAAGTCGGTGTTGAGTAATTGTGAATTTAAAACTCTAGTTATCTTGTCTCAGAAATGCAGGTTCAGTTTATTTATGAATATTATGTTTTTTTTAGCACAGTACAGTAGTTCCTAAACTGTGCTTTGGAAACCTAAGACAAATTTACAATAACTTAATGATATTGATGGTCCTGTTCTGCTTGTTTTAAAAGAATGGTATTTCATTTCATTTTCCTCCAATTTGTACTTAGGTCTCTTGAGTGGTCTCTTTCATATTTACCAATCAAAAATTTTGTATACATTTTTGTATCCCCCGAATGCTACATGTTCTGCCCATATAATCATCATTTAGTCACCATAATGATACTTGTTAGAAAAAACAAATTGTAAAAATTCTCATACCAGAGTAGTAATACAGAGTTAAAGTGCATCTTTGTTTCTACCAGTATCCTCTCTTGATACTGAAACGTCCCAAACTCACCAGTTGTCATATTTGGGTAATGGTCGTATCGTTCCTTGTCGTAACATAAGCCTGAGCAGGATTGAGTTCTCAGCCTCAGACCCATCGCAGATGTGAATACTGTCTGGCTCACACAGTGATATATTTTCCTCGACGTATGCACGTACCTGCACATCAGCAAAATCAATCATGAAATAGTATTTAGATTAATTGCATCTTAATTTATTCTGCATATAAAAATGTGTCTTCATGTGCTTTCTGAAAGAATATTCATAGACTTTCTTATGTCATGTCTTTATTTAATTGAAAAATAATTTCACGATTAAAATATATCAAAACTGCATGTATTTGAGTGTGTAAAATAAGGGATCCAGAAATATGCTCGCGCAGGGGGAAATTAATGGAGACTAGTAGGAAGCATAAAAATATATGTATGAAGCATATGGACTCCATTGTTCACATCCATTAACCCTTTAAAGCTGAGTGATAACTATAGGCTATGTACCAACTGCTTTAACTCTACATTTTGCTTTTGCGGGTTTTGTATGATTCTCACTGTAAAACGGATTATTTCCTTAAACAGCGTTTACCAGCTGATCTTTGTAATGGTAAAGTGTTGCGTTTTCTTTGTGGTATAGTCGGCGCAGTAGTTTTCGGCCAGTGGAAACGCTAGCGGAGCTGGCGGACGGGCCTAGTCTGTGTACCTGAGGTGGCACGGTCAGTGCATTTCTTTTGTTTGGGCGTTCAGTCCGATAAGCTCCTCCGTGCAGTCAGCATTACACTATCGCACAACAGACTCGCTCCTAGCCTTCCCCTTGAAAATTCCACCGGCCAAAAACTACTGCGCCGACTATACGGACTGAATTCTTAGATATTATTTATATGAGTTTCAGATTCAGAGGGTTAAAACCTTCGACATAAATGCCAGTCCCTGTATTATAAAATTTTCCTTTTCTTATTAAAATAAATTCTGACATGTTCCTCATGTCATCCAAGAAATTTTAGTGGTGGTTTGAAGTTCGGTGTTGGTACAGAGAATAATGTATTTAATTAATCTGAAATATGAGGTTCTCATGGCAGTGAAGATTTCGATTAATGCATGAATTCTGCAGTTTGAATCAATAGAATTATGAGTGGCTTGCTTGTTAACCTTGGATGTTAGAGAATGCAGGTTGCCATGGGAGATAGTAACCCCACGGAGATGGTTGTATAATCCCACATTGGGCTGTGACAGTGACTTGGCATACCTGGATACTGATGCCACACATCTGCAAAGAAACACATCTATGTGTACTATATTGTCACATGATGTTATTTTTGATTACTTGAAAATAGTGTCCAGGGATCTTTCCTGCTATTCAACGATGTATGGCCTGTGCAGTTGACAATGCTTCATTTATTCTTTATAGCCTAGTGGTATATATATGAACCACATTCTATAGCAGTCAGTAACTGCGTTATGTACTTACAGGTTTTGTATGATTCTATGTGTAAACTGTGTTATTTCCTTAAACAGCGTTAACAAATTGACCTTTGTAATGGTGAAGTGTTGTGTTTTCTTCGCGGTACGGACTGGATTCTTAAATAATTAGATGACCGGCTTCAAAGAGTTGAATAAATCACGTTACACATAATTCACAGTACGTCACGACCAAAGACACCATTGTAACCACTGAATATCGTCAAAACCTCGCTAATACCTACCGATCGTATGTGGGCCTAATGATGAAACAATTTACGATTTTCGAAGTGTTCCGTAAATGATTTAAAATGCTCATGTCTAGTACACTTACACTTCCGCGTCTGACTGATCGATGAACATCAGGCAAAATATGAGAGAGTTTCACTGGGAAACAAAAGTAGCAGATACGTGGCCCTACCTTCGGGCTGATACCTGCAGCTGCGTCAGCAGTAGAGGGGATCACCCCCTGCATAGGGACACCTCAAGCAGGTTATCCTAACTTCCGACGTTAGCATGTACTTCTTAAGACTGCCTATCGATCGCGGTACCTAATAACATGTTTCATGTTTGGAAAAAATAAAAATAAAAAATATAAGCCATGGTAGATATGTAAATTGACGCCCAAAGTTCAAAGTTGAGTTACAGCATGCAGAAAGACTCTGGAGTATACCTCATCACGTTCAGTGTCACCGGAAGCATGAACTTAATCACCCTCTCAGATGTCTCACTAACATTTGCTTTTGTTACAGAATATTATTAAGTAATATGTGAATGTGTGTGTAGTAGAAAGTTAACAGAATTTTTTTTATGAACTGCCATGACGTACCAGTAAATTTAGTATTACCGAGCGCAGTACGTTACAAATTATGCGTTTGCGCTAATCAGCAATGACATTAAGTCCATATCAAAATAAATAAAAATCAGTACATAAGCGCTCAGTTTATTAAATTCGCACAGATGGATATCAAACATAAAGTTTAAATTACTTTAGGTCATGTCCATGCAGAATCTCGGGAAAAGCCGGGCAAAAATTATGTAGTTGCTAAATATGCAAGGAAGTACGTTACTAGTAGAGACTAAGTTAGGTTATGTGAGGTCATAGCAGTGATCGCATTCCCAGAGGGCTATTGGTAATGGCGTCATCATCACTCCACCTCACGAGTTTTAGCGGTCGTTAGGCTCACATTACCGTGCGTAGTTAATTAAAAAGTGTGCGGTTGGAGTAATCACCTGTGGCATAAAGTCCATACCAAATTTTATGAAAATTCGTGGAGATGTTATCTAGTTAAATTCGCACGGAGAGTCATTACAGCTCAAGTTCAAGTTCGGTTGAGTTGGAATGGGTCAGGTTAGGTTACTATTCGTAATGGCGTCATCACTCCAGCCTTCACGTTGGCATTACCGGGCATGCCAAGTTACAAAGTGTGCGTCTGGACTAACCACATATCATATAAAATACTTACGAAATTTCATGAAAACCCGGAAAGAAATTATCCAATTATTGAATTATCTTGTTCACTTCCTGTAAACCTTAAGGTAATCTAAAAAGCTTGAGAGATGTAAAAGTTACAGGAATAATTACATATCGTAATTTTCACAAGTTGCAGTGCATAATATGGAAATATTATTTATTATTTTCCGTGTCTTGCATTTGTTTGTTCATGAAGTTAAATTATTTTAAAGACGTATGCAAATTAATGATCAATTATAACGTTCACTGCATTTGATATGTAATTAAATATCCAACTCACAGTCTGCTAGCCGTATCGTGTTGTCATGAAACCCGAGCGACAAATTAAAATAAAGAAATGACCGTGAAACATACAGTAGATTGACAGATCTGACACACAGGCCACGAATTTTGGAGAATGACTACTCGATATAAATTGCGCGTGGTCACTTCAACGAATGCTTGCTTGCTTATTGCAGCAATATTCCGTCCTGGGCCTTGTCCTGTGGTTCATTCCTCGTACACACGTCAGCATATTAAAAAATCATACCGTCTTAAAAACAAAGCTACTCTTCGCTTTCACGGGTAATTCTTTCCAATTTTGCAAAACATTAACTTACAGGGATCTCAGTCAATATTAATTTTAAAACTTATGAATAAAAAGAAACTTGATTGACGTTAAATTGTTGTTTCTTGGATGTTATCAGCTTCTTATTTCTCATTTGACGGTAAATAATCTGAACTTTTAAGCTAGTGACGTTAAGTAAACGAATAAAGCTGTCACGTATAATCCAAAGATAAACAGGCTGCCATTCCACAAATTATATGACGGCAGAGAATGTCTAAATGACAGTGCCAATCGACATCTGCAGTCCTCATGCAACACATATGTTAAGGAATGTTACGTTTCGATGAACCGCGTAGTAGACGGCACAGATAAACGTGTATGACTAATAATTAATAATTTCTCTCCTCCGAATATAAAATTCAGAGCTCAAATGGAAGCTTCATTAAATCTGTATCGTCACCTATGGCTGAAATAATTACAAATTAACACTTCGAACGCACGAACTTTAGCACACACGACCAGTCTTCGGGAACGTATTCGTTTTACTGAATTTTACGTCATAGACAAATAAAATATGAAATTTGCTTGATATATATAATCTTAAAATACGTTACCCCAAGATACAAGATCTCTCGTTCACACACAATTCATCAAATCGGGCCACTGTCATCTGTTGTTTAACGTATCGAGTGAAAAACCTTAATATTCCTTCTTCTGTTTCCATTTCATATGGGTCGATGGTGGATAAGTCTTCTTCACTTTGCCATTTCTCGCCTCACCCCAAGACAGAAACACCCTCTTTCACACACACACTTCACCACATACGCCAGTGCCATCTATTGATTACCCTATCGAGTTAAAAACCTTCCTCTTTTTTTCATCTTATATGGGTCGATAAGTCTTCACTTTACGATATCTTTTCACCTCTTCTATCTCTTCGTTGTCTGGTGACTAGCTGAGCCATTTTATTCTGGGACGTCCGTGCGTCTCTTTTCTCTAAATGTTATTTCTAATACCCTTCTCGGTATGAAACCTAAGTATGAAGATCCTAACCAAGACATGGGATGAATGAGTTTTTAAAATGTAGAACTTTTTGTATCAAGAGTAAGAATTTTTCAGGAAACATGAAGGAAGTGCATTGTCACTGTATGTGGTTTTACTGGTCGATTTTTTTTAATATTATCAGCTTCCATAAACTCAAAAGCCTCGCAGTGTTAATTAAATGCATTTCGACCGACGATGCGTGTGGAATGTATGCGACTCATAAACTTAGATAGTTTGTGCCTTATCTCGTCTGCTGACGATACTAAATGAGCGTTGACGGTGACGTAGTTGTACTTTAGTGCGGTCATCATTTCGATAAACACTTTGAACTTAGGTATAGAATATGTTGCATTCTGGGTATGCTATGTCATGTTTAAGTTTGTTGTCGGCCAGATTCTGCACTCTGAACTCCAGACTTAACTTACTGAATGAATTAATTATATCTCAAGGCCCTCGTAATCCTGCGTTTCATTGGTTCTCAAACATCGATAGACGGGCTTCTATCGGCCCACGACTTCATTTAATCCGATCCGCAAATCTTAGTCAGCATCAAATATGTGCGTATTAGGACTTACATATTTCGGCGTGGAAAAATTATAATTTTATTTCTAGAATGCTTTCGTGTTTACGCTCGTTGCCGGCACATTCTAATTTTGGTTAAAATCGGACAACAACGGACATTTCACATGGAAAATTTAGCACGCATTTCTGTTTCTGTATCGAGCGTATCTCGCGAAAATATTTATCGGAGCGAAAAATGTTTCGAACAGAAGTCGACGGAAGTGTAACATCACGTTTTATGACCAATTTACCTTTTCCTTTAAGTCATACTGTGTTTGAGATGAAAAGACAAAAGTTGTTTTTTATTGTGTGTCATTTTATAACTCGTGACTTATTTTTATCGAATTATATATAGGCTAAAGTGGTTTTTAAGGTAGTATATTTGCGTCATATTGTGAATTAGGTTAATATTTTAATATTTTCCGTCAAATCACAATTTTAATAAGATAATAAAATATTTCAAATATCATTTCACGTTCCGCATCGAATTTGTAAATCGATCATTCGATGCGGAACGTGAAATGATATTTTAAATATTTTATATTTTATTATCTTATTAAAATTGTGATTTGACGGAAAATATTAAAATATTTAAGTGGTTTTACATCATTTGTAAGAAAGCATCGAGCTTATAACAAAGAGAAACTTGTTAATATTCTATTGTAAATAGCACGCTTGGACGTGTCAGTAATAATTATGTTTGTTGTCTTAAACTTTCCTACGTAAACTGCTTTTTACCAGTCATCGTTTAAGGTAAACTTGAGAATTTCTGCTGTAATCTATGCAAGCAAGTACTAATTTATTTCTACAATGAACAGCTGAATGCTCTCTGACAGCGTATTGTGACGCGCTGTGCCGAGAATGTAGTTCTAGGCCCAAGGTTAGTTCGTACTGCCAAACTTCACTTTTCCTGCTTCGAAATTCAGAGTTCCCGGGTTCATATCTCGATCCTAACTGGAGTTTTTCTGGTTTCTGTCACGTTAGGTAAATACCTTAGAAATTCATCGAACGCTGTGTAGTCTGAGCTACTGATAGCGTTGTTAAATAACCACAAAGTAGAAATATAATGGCTGTCTCCTGGGTTGTAGTCTGGTAAAAAATTACCGACGTTTCAGAGGTGTTTACTAACTCTGCAATCAGGTTCTCATCGCCCTAATGATGCAGGCAGCAAGGATCTCTGAAA